TCTCTCTCTCTCTCTCTCTCTCTCTCTCTCTCTCTCTCTCTCTCTCTCTCTTCTCTCTCTCCCTTTCTCCTCTCTTTCTCTACCTATCTATCTTGTATCCGCATGATTCCCCCTTGCCACGTGTGTTGTGTCGAGTTAGCTCTTAAACTTCGGAAGTGGAATCTGGATTAAGACGTTCGCTAATGCCAGCCATAGTTCGCGCTCTGATTCACCTTATTCGCTAACACTTTGGATGAATAATTGCCGTCGCTTTAAACGTTCATATGAACTTGGCGAACTTTCGCGTAACTCGCTTCAGGCGTCAAATGAAAATCGTAAATCTCTCGTCTTGCGAAGTGTGTTGCGTGTCGAATTGTTTACGCTTACAGTCACGAACCAAGAGATGAATATCTTCGTGAATCTCTCCTTCCTGCTTCTCCCTTATACGACCGGAGATACGAGCGGATTGAAATGAACTTTTGTCAAACGCGCGGTTAGAATTCCAAGGTGTCGCGATAAAAGATTTACGTTGCGCTCATGACGTAAGAGAAGAGATCGCCGCCAGTCGGTCTCACTCTACTTTCGTAGGATGAATTCTGCTCGCGGAAAGTTTAAGTGACGCCGACTTGTCAAATGTGAAAAAGTGGATGCGTGGAATTTGAGTCTGACTCACCCTGAAACTCCTTTCGCGCTGCGCTGACGGAAGTGACGATGTTTGCGACGTGTCCCAGCACCGTTGCGAACAGCAGCAATCCGAAGAACAGCTGACCAATCACAAAAAGATACTCGCCCTTGCTCCTCGGTCTGGAAAAAGAAGCGGATGAGCACATTATGTCACTCGACCAACATACACTCTTTTCCCTTGGCACTTTTAATCATGATAATCGGGCTGCTTTTACGTCCAAAAAGTTCCATTTCAAATGTTTCTCTTGCGAAAGGCGCAAATAAGAGGATAAAGCGGAAACACGTTGCTCCGTTTATCTTCTCCAGACCTTTATGAAATAATTATTCATCGCGGAGCCGCTTTCGAACCAAATAAGAAGACGCAAAGAGCGGAAGTTCATTGTCGGACGAATACGTCCTACGCGGAAACGTTTCTCACTCTGCCCGCGTATGGATCGAGTGTATGAAGTTGGCACCCCACTTTTTGAAATTTATAATTTTGAAAGTTGTTCCAGATTGTTCTGACTTTGTACCACATTGCTCCAAAGTGATATTGCTTCATTCGAAACGGTTAGAAAGAAAGATAGTATAAGTTTACTCTTGGTCCGATAGACTGTCAAAAAACTTTTTTTTAATTTTTCGGGCTTATAATTAAACTTATTGATTTGTGCTTTTGGAACAATGTTTGAAACAACTAGAACAATCTATATCGGTATCGGAATGCTTTATTTACAAAAAATGGGGTGCCAGGTCAAAAATATTTTTTTCATTTTTTGGACTTATAATTCAACTTACGGATTTGTCCTTTTGGAACAATGTTTGGAACAACTAGAACAATCTATTGCGGTATCAGAATGTTCGATTTTCGAAAAGTGGGGTGCCAGCTCAAAAAATCATTTTTTTTTTGTTTTATTCGAAAACCGTTTCGAATGAAGCAATATTACTTTGGAACAATGTGGTACAAAGTCAGAACAATCTGGAACAACTTTCAAAATTATAAATTTCAAAAAGTGGGGTGCCAACTTTATACACTCGCATGGATTCCTCTGTTTTAAGTGCGCCAACGAAAACACCGATCCATTTGTTCGCGCGCGGTCTCTTTTATTGTCTGGCCGATTACATGATTCTCGATCGAGTCGGCTGTGAGAGCCGTGATGACTTCGGGTTTTCATTTCGCGCCGCTAAATATCGGCCTATAATTGGGACAATCCATCCTCCGTGGGTTTCCAGCGCAAAAACAGAACGGATTCCCGCGTGTGTGTACCAAGTTAAAATAAACGTCATCGAGCGGGACCGGCGTAACCGTGATGCATTTTCGCGCCGGCGTATCGCGACGTATTAAAACGCCGCGTGCGAGAGAGGGAGAGAGAGCCGTCGATTTGGTTAAGCGTTCCGCGTCCGTTCAGACGTTTTTCGGCGGTTCGCATATTTCCCGTGCGTTCCCTGTCGGATTTTATGAAAGCTACATTTCGGGCGTGCTGCGGCTGTAACCGCGACTAGCGGCGACAACGTGTCCCGGTAAAGCGTTTTATTAAAAACTGATCGCGCGGGAATGCGTGGAATTACGTGCGGAACGTTATATGCGGTTAATGATGTCGAGATCCCACGGGTATACCGCAGTGGGAGCGCGAATGCGAGATTAAAAAAAAAGAGAAAGAGAGCAGGAAGAAAAATGGAGAGAAAAACGGTTACTCTAACAATCCCCCGATGACAACGTGTGTGTTTGATGAGCTTTTACCGCCCCACACGTATATCGATATGAAAATAATGCGCGTTATAACGGCGTAAAAGCTATTCTCGGAGGTTGTCGCGATGTTAAAAAAAAAAGGTAAGAAAAATAGGGAAATATCCGAGGAATTATGCGCAGACAGATGGGACACACGAGGGGGGCTGCTATCGTGTCAAATTGCCACATAATTGCAGCCGGCGTTTACGAAATTTTCTTTGCCCACCGTTGCCCGACCGAATCACGAACACATTTCGCGCAAAACGTTTTCATCTTATACGTAATTTACGAAAATGAATGAAACAATTCTGCGGCATGAAAACTTCAACGAGCGCTATACATGTAGTGCTTGGGCAATTTAAACGTTTGAGTGAAAGTTTGCGTATGCGTAAGTAGCGATTGTGCTTCAATTTTTCTTTTCTTTTTGTTGTTTTTTACGATCCTTCAAATGCAGGAAATAATCGTTCCCGTATCTCGGAATAATTCCGCCGAATTTTCGAAAGACTCGCAGCGAGATTCAAACAATGAAAGAATAATAAGAATAGAAAAGAAGGAAAAATACCTGGGCAAATCACCGATGGTCGTCAGAGCGAGAGTACACCAGTAGTAGCTCTGCAGGTACTGCTTGACCACGTCCGCCGTCTCGGAGTCGCTGAACACCCAGTTCTTACTGCCGAAGCCGTTGTTCTTATAAATAATGTGATAGAGGCACCCGTTCCAGTGAAAGATCACCAGTAAATAATGTATCAAGGAGGTGGAGCGAAACAAATTCGGGTAGTTCGTGTGTCGCTCGGTCCTGTCCATGAACGCCCAGAACCTACGTCAGAGGCAAAGAGAGAGAGAGTGGGTTGAGAAAATTGGCGGAAATTCCGGCGGTCGCGGCGATAAATTTCGGAATTCCTCGTAGAACATCGCCGCAGGGATTTCGCGCGGAGCGCAACGAACGTTTTTGGGCCAACGAGCGTTTCTTTCAATCTTCGCGCAAGTTCGACGACGGCGATGAAGAAGAATCCAGGTCGCGAGCCTTCAACAGGTTAAAATACGCTTTCCGTTCAGCCTTCTTGTTTTATTTATTATTTACAAGCGCGGCTCCGATCGGTTGTGTGCGCGGCTGGAACGATGCACGACGATTGTCGACACGGAATCTTCAGCTTCGCAGGAAATACCGCGATCCTCTTACGCGTTGTTCCCGTTAAAGGATAAAGGCCGTGACATACGGAAAAACGTAAGAAGATAGGCCAGCTACCGTCGGTTATTCGGAGAATGTAAGGAAATTCGTCGACTGTAGTTGATTCATTCGCTTACTCTCTTAAACCTTCTACCGCTCAAATTAATTTCTCATGTTTCAACATTTTTTCATGTACATAGGATATTTAAAACTAAAATACTCAACACATATAAGTGAAATTTTACTTTTTTAATTTCCTATTTTCTCAAAATAGGTTTATGACTCTGAAGCCACGTTGGGCAGTTACTATCGCCGCCAACATACTAACAGAAGGCAGCCAAGTATTCTGACTTTCACGTCACATCGGTCAAGACAGGAACAACATTCATATTGGAGATAAATAATGATGAAACCGGATTGTGACTTCAAAGTCACAGTGGGCAGTAGAGAGTTAAAGTGAATCAAGTTCTGATTGAAACAGCAGTAGGATCATTTCACTGGATATCAGGGAATATTTACTGATTTTCAGCGAAAATACTTTCACTTTACCGTTTCGTCTAACATCCAACTGATTAAATCCTACTCCAAAATCTGTAGTACGCAAATTCGTTATGTGCTATATGAAATTCAACTTTCTGCGCTCGTAGTGAGGGAATTAATGCTTTCGTACAATTCGCATGCGATGGCACTCTTTGTGTTTGCAAACTGCATCAATAATGGTAACAGTCGTTAATATTAACTGATCCATTTAGCGGGATTTTACTGATTACAGTATTATACTTTTAACCGAATCGCCAGTTGTAAGTATAGTATTTCAATGAAGTAACAAGAAATAAATATAAAATAAAAAAAAAATAAAAAGATTTAGTAATACACAATGATTGTACTTTAGAGAAAGTACAAGCTTTACTGCTTACGTGTTTTTCTGTATGCTCTCTGGCTTAATATTTTAAGGAACAACACAAAACGTGCGGCTGCTCGTTTAACGTATTTCTTTTTCTTACATTCGTTTTTTTCTCTTTGGTACAGCCAGATCGTCGATGTTTGCACCGGGATGTAAACGCTCGCGCGCGAAAGATCAGCGCCGCATTATCGTGACTTTACTCACGACCCTCAAACTTTTACAATCCTTTTCAATCTCGGCTTAGCCCAAACAAGTCTCGCTCGGTGGTGTTCCACGAAAGGAAATCCCAACTTTTCGCACTTACACATTTCCCGCGAGCCAATTATGGCGCGGTGAGCCGAGTCGAAAAGGGAGGAAATTCGCAATATCGCCCGATTTCATTTATCACCTCGAAACTCGTGTATTTGACTTGTTGGGATTGAAATAAAATTTCTGCGCGTGCTTTTTCGCAAATATGAAAAGAAAATAGTACTTTGGCTCGTTGTGCTCCGCTTAAATCCGCGCGGGAAATCAATGCTCCTCGAGTACGCACAAATATCATATCATGCATTATAAATTCATAATCTCCACGCTACACGTTGAAGAAACTGAAATTCTATACAAAATACAAAATTGTACAGAATTCCGTGCTGACTCCGAGTTGATGCTACGTAATAAAAGGTTGGAAAAATCGTGAAGAAACTGAATATATAAATATTGAATGACAATTACCGGTAAATTTTTACGAGTCTAAAACTTCGCAGCATACTGTTAAATCCTATAGATAAGTATAAAAAGTCGAGGGGCAGCAGGCACAGGATGTCTATGTAAAACGTGGTGCTGTTTGTGTAATGATTTCTCAGTTTCGTGGCGTCGGTTTGCAGCACGCCGTCTTCCAAGTATCCCGTTCGAATGTGAAATATTATGTCGAGCACGTATAAAAAATCCGAGAAGTAGTCCAGGCAGAACCACACCCAACGGGTCTCTCCTGCATTTGCAAACAGATACAATTTTAATGTGTATATTCATGATCGATTTTTATAACGTTTTTTTTGGGGGAGGGGGAATTTTAGCAAAACATATCTATGGAATATTTCATCCCCCGGGAAAAATTGTATAAATTCTTGAAATTTAATTCGTTAAAATCTTGTTCATTGCCATTCGGTTATAACTCGAGAGCTATTAATACTTGGCTATTGGCCGCCATTACATTTAGTTCCACCTTTTGCGGAATTTGTGAATTGCAATTGCAAAAAAAAAACACGATTCCTACCGTACTCAGCAAACGTGAAATGTGTTTTGTTGATATCGTTATTTTCTATTTAATTTGCAAATAATTTTACGAATTATTGTCCGCTACATCGGCGCTCGCTTTAACATTTAATTAAAGTAGACGTTAAAGTTGAGCGTTTCAACGAAAATTTAATTCGTTTAATAACGTTTGAAACTCTTGGATATGGAATGTCATCAAGAGCAATTCATAATTTTGGAATGCTTTCACGCCTATAAATTGAAGAATGTATACAGAGGGCGCAATATAACGATTCTCATAGGAGCGTTTTAATTTACTTTATAAAATATTGTCCTGCCACGTTCCGCCCACTCTCTACATAGCGCGTTCAAGCTTAAATCCATACATTTAGCATAAATTTAATGAAAAACATTCCTTCCTTTATGCTGCGCACGTCTATTTACGAATAAAAAATTGACAATCGCGAGATTTTTAAACGTTAAAAAATAGCAAACACGAATTGTTGCAATTTATCATGGAAATAGGGCGTATCATGCGAAAGCAGAAAGGGCAGGGTTTTGTACATATCCTAGTCTCAGGACATTCGCGTTTGCTGGAACACCTCATTTACGAATTAATCAATGTAAGACTGAATTTCTAAAATCTCTTCCCGGCCTACTTTCGCGATTTGTTTAATTTTTTAAGGAAACAGACTCGCGCAGTTCGAGTCCTCATAAATTCCTGATCGTGGAGATCCGAGCCTAGAAGCCTCACGTATGAAACGCCCGCGCCCTACTCGATCAGGAATTCGTGAGCGCGTTGCGAACTAACCGTTGATCTCCTGGAAGGCAAACCTATAGATGATCACCCAGAAGTTGTAAAGAAAGGCAAGGGAAACCACCATCGACCAATAGTAACAGAGACGTCCCGCAGGATCGAAGATGAAGGACCAGTTCGGCGCGCCCGTGCGGAAACCCCTCGATCCTGGTTGCCCGGGATAGCCCCTACTACCGTGTTGTTGCTGTTGCTGCTGTGCCGTGTACCTCCTGAGACAGTAATTCAACGAACGCGCGTTGATTAATTGCTGCCGTGTCTAGCCGCGGTTGCGCGACGTGGCCGATCATTTTTCGTTACTGCTCCCGCTGCGGCGTTAAAAGTATCGAACGCACGGAAGCGGCCGTGGTGGGAAAGATTCGCGCGCTTTCCGCCGCGTGCACTTCGTAGCGGCTCGTCTAGTTGCCGGAGATAAAGCTCCCGTCGCTTAGTCAGGAAGACTCGGTACCGCGTAATCTCGCGTTGTCCTCGCAACAAACCAGTGTCCTGGCGGAGATACTTCCCCGGAGCTAAGAGAAGCCCGTGGCGAAGCAATTGAACGATCTTTAGAAACGCCGTCGCGCAGCATTAACTAAACCTCCAAGAAGTCCCTTGAATATTTATGATCCCTCCGCTATATTCATCCTCTCTTGGATTTTCACTCGGCGGATTTTATTTCACTCCATGAAAAGCGAAATTAGCATCAAATTGAATTTTTCCACGAATATCCGTCTTCCCCTCGAAATATTCTCGGTAACGAGATTCTTTCCCGGGGGTCAATCGGCGGACGGGACTTTGTGATATTCGCCAGTAATTGAAACACTTTGCGATCAGTCGGCAGGTCGCGATTGCCAATCGAGTACTCACGTCTCGGTGCCGTTGCAGCTGCTGTTGCTGAGATGATTGACTGACGCCGGTGTGTGCAGATGTGACTGTTCGCGCGACGGCGTGAGAGCAACCGCATACGGTAGCTTGAATCTGCCCCTTAGGTGGTCCCTCCTCTTCGGCTTACGGCACAGATCGAGCTCGCTCGCTCTCCGATTCACGTACGCGTCGTGAAGCGAGTCGCGCGACGAGCTGAAGTAACGCTGCGAAACAGAGTACACCTGCACCAATTAGGATGCACGAAGCAGCTTTCCGGTAGAGCGATGTTTAGGAGAGACTAGAGCTTTATGGCCTTAAAGGTGTGTTGCTCATATGCATTTCTAAAATATTTATCTTGAGAGGAAAATAGTGAATACAAGATCGTGAAATGGAATATAAATTTTAGAATATAAATACTTTTCCCCTGAGTTTCATTAAACTCGAAATAATATTACAGTTAAAAATAGAAAAAAAAACTGATCAGTGCAAAGTAAATTTTTCAAGCTTCTCTAAATTTTCTGTCAATATTCTCTATCGTGACTAAATAAAATTAACCAATGTGTTACTAACTAGAATGAAATTTCTTGCAAATGTACATGTTTTTGGTAATAAGTACAATTTTTATTCATAAAGTAATTGAAATCGAGCATATGAGCGAACGAGGTAAAGTTGGTCCATAATTAAGGACCAGCAGGAGAGCTGTGAAGACCTCTCGAACGAGACTCTAGAACTACTAATCAGGATACATATTTTATGCATGGCCTTCTTACCCTGCGTTACTGAACAACTGAACCCGGTGTGAGGACGCTATGTTGTATTAGTTATTATAAAATAGGGTCATGGCGGGCATTAATACATAGAAGAAATTTGCTTCTATCATGTCTACATAGTCACTGACAACAATTGGTTGTCTGAGAAGTTATAACTTCGAAATTCTAAAATATAGGGCATCTCGCTCTGATCTCCTCTGCACAATGCGGAAGCCGCCCCGGCTACGTTCGCATATCCTCCCCTTTTCATCCTCGACTTCCCCGGCTGTTGATACGCGCTAATACGTCCCTTACTGATCCATTTTGCTGCGAATAGCCGTTTTTCGCACAAGTGCTGGTTCAACAATGCCGCGGTTGACTAATATATTCGTCGTATTTTGCTCAACCGTTGGCTGCGTACGAACGCGTGGTCGCACCGGCTGTTTTTCATTTTCCCGGAGATCCCCTTCATATTTTTCGCGCTGGTTTATTCGAGTTCCCGTGCAGTATCCGAACTATCGAGATATGGTCTCTCTATGCGGTGGTATCGAAGCGGCTCGAAACTGCGAACGTTGCTGTTTCGCTCGCTCGGGATTGTCGCTGCAAATTTTCTTTTTTTCTTTTTTTCGTGTCGGATAGTTCGATATTAAGCGCGCTTGCCGCGGCGAATTCGTGCGCGCATATGAGGACATATAATTTGATTGTTCTGTTTTTATGAAGTCGACGGAGAAATATTTAATTAACGCAACATAATAACAGAAATCTCTGTGCCGTTCTTAATTATCTCTTATTCTTTTATGTTTTCCTTTCTGTGACAACAAGAATTTATGTAATATCTCACGTAGAATTTGTTTGTCAGATCTTAAAAAAAAAACTACGTTTTAATATCAACTTCAATTCTTTTGGAACACGATGCTCTTGGAAAAACTCGTAATACAAGAATTTACGCCGGAAAAACGAGTGAAACATGCACCGACGCTCATAGAAAAAAACTCTATCTCATGAAAAAAAAACGAATAATTAAAGTTTAGACCCTTAAAAATGTTTGAAAAAATAAAAAAATAAAAATATGGGTAGGTAAAGAGCGGAAATAGAGCGGACAGTAAGGTAAAAGTACCAATGCTCGGACACGTATTTACACGCAGAAATGGATTAGCCGCAGGAACTAAGATATAGCTATGGCAACTAAGATGTGCTATTCAAATAGGGACAGTCGTTTAATGTCGTTGCTACTGAAACTAAAGAGTGTGACCAAGTTTAGCCCCATTATTTTGCGACATTTAAAATGTTAAATTACTTTTTGATGAAATTGTAGCTATTAGAACGTGAGTAGAATTAAATGATTAATTGGAGCTTGGTAAAAGTCACTCTAAATTAATAAATATTATTAATATCCGTATCCGTAAATATCCGTAAATATTATTATAATCCGTATTATTTTATTGATAAAGATTTTCGTTTCTATTTCTTGCAATATTTTCTACACGTAAGGATCCTAACGATACTATTTCTTCCGATAGAATATATATTTTTATACTTATATATTTTTAACAGATATTAAAGATATATAAGTATAAAAATATATATTCTACTCATAGCTAGCTACAATTTTATCGAAAAATAATTTAAGATTTCGAAATATGGAGCTAAAGATTACGAGAGCTTGAACGCTTTCTTTGTTAACTATTTAAATATCGATGCCATAGCGAAGAATACTCGCTGCTAGAATAGAATTATTTCGCTTTTCTTTTAAATTATATTTTGTACCCAGAAACATAAAACTAACGATACGCATTACAGACTCAAATCTATGTTTCTCACTAGCTTTTAACATAAATCAATTATGAATATCCGCTTTAATGAAAGCACAAAGGCCGATGTCTTTCGTACTTACACGATTATTCTGCTTGATCCTTATTCCACGGAAGGACGATTTCACGTTCATCAGAAGCGCGATAATTTTCCCTTTCCAATGGTCTTGGTTTCAAGTCGCTACGACGTCTACAAGTGGAGTTGTTAACGATTGTATTGATCCGCGTTTTGGATCGTTCGGCGTTATCGCTACTGCGAACTGTAAACAGGTATCACGCGACGCGCGAATGGAATGCGGAACGCGACTGCTTCACCTTGAGCTGTAAGTGAAAGTATACCGCGGCCCCCAGCTCGCTTCCCCCACTCCGCGCCTCAGATAAACATTGTCGCACCGTACACTTGTTCATTACGATCGCGCGGCCGTTCACCTCAGTTTACGAGCAAATAGTGCGCGCGCTGGACTAAAACGCCGGCGTTGCACCAAAATGCGAATTTCGAGCTTAAACCTGACATCGACGTCGCGGCTTTAAACGGCTATAATTCGCAAATGAGTTGACGTAGCGACATAAAATAAATAGGTATGAGCAGCGCGCAAGCTTTTTCATTCGCGATCGAACTGTTCAGATTCCCTCTTTCGCCTCGTCTATTGTAATATTGTCAATTATTAATATTGTAATATTGTCAACGAGATTAATATTGTCACTGTAGGTTAAAGTAATGGAGTGATTATCGTGATTATTTGGAAGGTTAAGGACTGTTTTGTTTAATTTCATAAGCTTTATACTCGCACATGAGAGTGTTGATCAGACATTTTGTATACACATTTCCAATGCCCATGAAAAAAATATATATAATAAAAAGATTGTGAGGAAACACACATACAAAACTTGTTTTGCATTATCCATTAATTATATAGGTATTAATTATACAGGTATTAATTATACAGGGTATCTGGATTTATAGATGCTCGTGTGCAAGTAAAGAACTTGTTAAATTAAATTAAATTAAATTCTGTACAATTTTGGATAAATTCTATCACGATAATTTATTGTGATATTAATAAAAGAAAATTGACCAATTAATGCGTGCGGTGTGAAATGAACTTTGTAAGATTAATTCTTTACACAGTCTACTGCTCGAGATTTACGGATATAGAATATTTTAAAATAGTTGCCACTTTTTTATTGTTACCTATTCGATAAACAAATATGTGTTTTTAATTTTAGATAATAAACTTGCATCTCACAGTGAATGTATTTTATTTGGGATAAAATCAACTCTTATATGACAGCAAAACAATCAGTCCTTTAACCAAGTTCTATACAGCCACTGACCCCTTGTCCATAACCTTGTTTTAATCTTTAAGCCGTAATAAATTGACGAACCACAGTCGATTATTTTAAAAATAATCAACTGTGATTGATCAATTTCTTACGGCTTAAGAATTAAAGCAAGGTTGTGGACAAGGGGTGAGACTCAGCTGATATTACCGAGTCATTTCCTTAGATATACTTCTAAACATTCTTATTGTTTTGATTTTTTGATCTTTAAATACGGATATGCAAGTTTTTAACATGAAATGTACACATATACATTGGATATATGCATATATTTTATGTTAAAAGTTTAAATGTTCATATTTAAAGACCAACACATAATAAGGATGTCCAGGATTAAATACGTGTCCGGGGATTGGTACTTTCATCTTTAACATTCATATTTTCTGCGTGCCTTTTCTTGACGGAACTGCCCGATTTTCGTCATGGAATCACGAAATTATTCGTCGGAAAGCGGATTTTCGCGGGAAGGAAGGTTCAAAGAAGATCAAGTATCGAGTGACAATGTCCCGGCGAGTTTGCGCGCATCGAGTGTTCTCGGCAGGATATTTTTCGGTGAGTGGCAGTGAAAGGAATATTTTACCGTGCGCTCACGGACGGACCAACCTGCTGCTGATGTTGGTGGTAGTAGTGGTGCGTGGGTGTGTGTCGGCTTATGAATTTACTGCTGACGAGGTCCAAGAGGCTCTGCCTCGAGGGTAAAACCGCCCTGGACACGTTCTCCGCGCTCTTGGTGTCATCTTCCTTTTCCCTGCCGCCCCCGCCTCTGCCATCGCCGGTCCTTCCGGTCCTGCCATCCCGGTGCTTCTCACCCCCGCAGCTCAGGGCGGACGCGGAACCGACGCTCAGACGATGTCTCACACCGCCACCGCCAGCCGATGTGATGACGCCTGCAACATTAAACGGGGGATGGCTGTAAACGGTAAGTCCTTCTTAACCCGATCTACGTAGCTAACGACTGCTCTCTCTCTCTCTCTTTCTCTCTCTCCCTCTCTCTCCCCGTTTCTTTAACTCTATCTCTATCTCTGAACTCCGTCTGCTTGATACAGAGTTTTGTGTCTGCTTCATCTTGTAGCTTTATCTCTTTTCTTATATTGTTAACATTATATCTTGAGATTACTTTAAACTTCCGTATTATGCATGATGTTATCTTTTCATATGAGTTTTTTTTGTTTATTTCTCGTAAGTAAATTTGTATGTAATTATTGTGTACCACCGAATTTTCTGTATCATCATATACGTAAATTCTTTTCTGATCGTGCAAAGTTTTGTAGGAAGTTTGCGCGGTTAATATACTGTGCGACGTTTGTTTCACGAGACAGTTGTAAACTTCCGTATTTTACATTTTACATCCGAGTTTCATAATTTCATGTCTTCTCGCGAGAGATTTAACCAGATTAACGTAGGATATTCCGGTACCAATGTCGTGACTGTCTAGCGGGATACAAAGTAACACTTCTACCCTGAAAAATGGTGTAATGAAGCTTCGCGTCGGTACCACCTGTGGATGTGATGACGCTTACAACGCGAGAGAAATTCCGGCGCGAGTCGGGTGATCCCTTTTTCGCGTCTCGTGAGTGTAGAATTTCCTGCGTAACGAGGCATAACGAGGAGTAAAGCGCGACGTGCGCGAGAATAGCGCAGAGACCGACGCGAGATATAAAAGGCAAAAAGTGATTAATTTTTTTTTTTTCAAGACTCGATCCTGAAGATTTGATTCCAGCAAAATAAACTTGAATTTGATTGATTACGGTCGAAACTATATAAAAGAAAAGAAACACTAAGAAAAAATGTTTGATATTTATAATTATAATGACATAGAGAAATAATTACTGTAAATGATAGTCAGAAAAAGCACTTTTCCATTAAATTTTACTATAATATTAGTGATAATAGTCTAATAAATAAATAAATAAATAAATAAATAAATAAATAAATAAATAAATAAATAAATAAATAAATAAATAAATAAATAAATAAATAAATAAATAAATAAATAAATAAATAAATAAATAAATAAATAAATAAATAAATAAATAAATAAATAAATAAATAAATAAATAAATAAATAAATAAATAAATAAATAAATAAATAAATAAATAAATAAATAAATAAATAAATAAATAAATAAATAAATAAATAAATAAATAAATAAATAAATAAATAAATAAATAAATAAATAAATAAATAAATAAATAAATAAATAAATAAATAAATAAATAAATAAATAAATAAATAAATAAATAAATAAATAAATAAATAAATAAATAAATAAATAAATAAATAAATAAATAAATAAATAAATAAATAAATAAATAAATAAATAAATAAATAAATAAATAAATAAATAAATAAATAAATAAATAAATAAATAAATAAATAAATAAATAAATAAATAAATAAATAAATAAATAAATAAATAAATAAATAAATAAATAAATAAATAAATAAATAAATAAATAAATAAATATATATATATATATATATATATATATATATATATATATATATATCTATTACTATTATTTTCGTGTTAGAACTAAACAGATTGGGACATATGATTGGGACAAAAGATGACTATAATTTTAGCTGGATTAACCAATTTTTTCTCATAGTGAAGAATCTTGAAATTCTTCTTAGGTCTCTTAACGCAGACCTTCCATTTATCATTGTACGATTCATTTATCCATTTATCATTCTTAATTTATTCTTTATTAAATGAATGATATACGTGGATTTTCGTCAAAAGTAATGTCGACTTGGCGCACGGGAAACTCGAGGCTAAGCATTGCGACGATCACGTCGGAAATATGAAGAGGAATAAGCAAGTTTTACGGAGGTGAAGCGTGTCTCTGCTGCATTATCTTCGCGCGCGATGACACCTGCAACGTCAAAGAGACTGCAACGGAGCGAGTCTCGTTTTCTTGCAGCACGAGATTACGGCTCATCCACTTTTGCTAGATAGTAACGAAGCGTGACGCGATAAGGGTGCAAAATCCGAGCAAGAGAAAGCCCATCTCCGTTGCCGTTTTGAATCTGCTTAACAGGGAATAAGTTTCCAGAGAAGGCTATCACACATCTACACCGGGAGTACAAATTACGACTTTTTCATGATCGAAATCGTGCCCTTCCGTATTTTCATTCTTGTTGCGTAATGACAGCAGAAACGTTACGAATGAACGAGATGTATGCCGCGAGATATCCTCGTGCTGCAGATACATTAATTTCGCCAATCAACAAGTTTCGGGACTGTCTATTCGTTTACAGATCTACTTTTAGATAATGATCTCGCAAATTCGTTAGTACAATGGAGGTATATAAACTCATGATAACTGGAAACAAAGTAAAGAGGAAAAGAAAGAGAGAGAGAGAGAGAGTCGGGAAACGAGAAAGATAATTACATGACAGATGAATGAAAATACGTGACCGAGCTTGCGTAAGAGTATCTAAGTGTTACTTTAAAAGCGTCATAACGAGATTCCTGCTCTCCTCTAGCTGTTTCATAAATAATTTCGCGCGTTCCGACGTCTTCCATTAAGACGGCCGGGAAAAACGATCGCAAGAAAATCTGCGCCGACATTCTCTTCATTACTTCCCCGGCCTGTTATTTTCTTGTTAATGTGATGTAAAACGATACTCTGTAAAACAAGCAACGGGAGAATTTTGTCGAATACGAGCTGGAAAAGGAGCTCGGGAATTTACGCTCCATAATGACGCGTTGAGGAATGTTGCCGCTCTGGTGTCTCGTTTCGGTCGGATGAGCGGTCACAAGATAATTTTGTTAATTAAAGATTACTTAGTGCTACTTATATATAACATTTATACACACTACACTTATATTACTTATACACACATACACACAAAAGGTATTTAAAAAATATTTGGATAAACTTCTAGGGCGTATACCTCTCGTCTCGAAAATAAAGAAAAAGGTTATATAAATTTATAATCAAATATGAATGGTTGCGGAGTTATAGTAAAACAAAGTCTGCATTATAAAATTATTAAATAATATAAGTTGTTAAGTAATCATAAGTAAACATTTAAGTTATAACAAATGCTCAAAATGACAGCTATTTAATTGAAGTCAGACATTAACACAGCAGAATAAGGATTGTCGAACTTCAAAAGTCCACTTTAAAGGTTCATTTTACAGTTTCGTATAACCTCGCAAGCATTAATAATGTGAAATATCTCTTCGTTATCAATAGGTTGCGAATATATTAAATGCTTTAAATGTCCTCTATAAAAATTTAGTAAATTCAAGTCTGGGAAACGTGAAGGCCATACGACTGATTCTTCTCTGCCAATCCATTCATCTGGATAATTATTATTGAGCACATTTCTCACTTGACGACTAAAATGTGGTGATACTTCATCGTGCATAAACCACATGTTCTAAATATACCGGCCACTTGACTGTCATGATTTAAACATTTACTTATGATTATTTAATAATAATGTTAACACACTTTGTTTTAATATAGCTCTGCAATCATTTATATTTGATTATGGGTCAGTAAAGACTTTTTTCCTTATTTTGGCGCGCGCGAGAGGAATACGCTCTAGAAGTTTGTTCAGATATCTCATAAATATCCTGTGTGTGTGTGTGCGAATTATAGTCAATTATCCAAGTTTGCTCGGCAGACCAAATCCGAGATGCTTTAGAACGTCGCTTTATAACGTGATGATCTTTATCGCGCTAACTTTGAATATAGAAACAATATTTTGCCAGTGCAATATAGTAAGAGTAGATAAATATAAGCGGCAGACAATTCCAATTACGGTTGAAAGTCTCGTTAAGAAGGTCTCGCGCTTCAGCGACAGTATAGTGGACGTAAAAGTAATTGCTTTCTGGCACCCGGGAGAATTAATAGGATAAGTTTCGAAGTGAAAGAACCAAGATAAATTTCAGCACTTAGTGCAAAAAGTATGTAACGCAGAAAAAAATTGAAGATCAACGCTAAATGTCAATTTACTCCGTCTTTATAATGGAAACTTCGTCTCCGTCCTCGACTCCATTTTTTATAAGATCCTTAAGATTTTCGATATTATTGGTTGAGAGGACGAAAATCATCATTAAAATTGAATCTGAGTTGACGCGTTCGTGCGAGTCTCATTGAAAGTCGTAAGCTCCCGAGAGACTTGCCTCACGAAATATATATAGAGTGTCCCAGAACAACCTCCGAAGCTCTCGTAAAGGCGTAGTATGAATTGGGATGAACATAAAAGTCCTAAAATCGTTTTGTGATATTCGCAATAATTACCGAGATATTAATTAAGGAAGATTTGTGAATCGCGCGAGATATGGTAAATGAGCTGTACTGGTAACGTGTACATTAGGTCAAACTGAACAAGAAAGTCCTCTACCATTTTTCTAATAACTTTTTAATTATTAATTAAAGATTTTTAATTATTAGTTAAAAAAAGAAGATTGACGGATGGTCGCTCGCAATAATATATTAATGCTATCTAATTAATAACTAAATTAATAATTAATATATAATTAATTAATTAATAATTAATAACTAAAAAATCTATAAGTTATTAGAAAAAAGATAGAGGGGTTTTTTTTTATTCAGTTTAATCTAATGTATAAGCACATGACTAGATGTCGTCATTACAGCTCATATGTGATACACCATAGCTCGCGTGATTAAGTTTTTTTTAATTAATATCTCGATAATTTTTGCAAATATTGCAAAACAGACTTTTATGTTCACCTTAATCTATATTATGACTCCACGAGTTTTTCGGAGATTGTTCTGGGACACCCTGTATACGCGTGCCGAAATGATTTTAGATCGACCGAGCGGGATATTCCGATGAATTATGCGCGGCACGCCTGGCGGTCATTATGGCAAAGGACGAATTAATTCCAGTCGAGAG